AAAAAAAAACAAAAACAAACAAAAAGAAATAAATAATACTTAAAAATTCTATGAGCTTCACCGGACTGAATCACCACCTTCCCTTACATAAACTTCAGTTAAGATTGTAGCCATACTAAAAATGAAAAAAAAACAGTGAAAAAATACAACAGCAACAGCAGACATACAAAAGGCAAAGAGGACTGATGACATTTTATCAGTATTGTGAATAAACTTGAACACAAAACACAAGCGGTTCCATGTCATATCTTCAGTTGTAGAACTTTTTCCTGTCCAAGGTAAAGCGACCAACTTGAACTTTCTATTGCAACACGATTCACGGTTATTATATAAGGGAATCAGTGTTCATGTATGTATATATTTATTTATGTGTAATTTAATGGGAATTGTAAATATGGTGAGTCTGTTTTAAGCCTTTTTTTATTTATCTGGTGATCTCGTTTACCTCTTGTTTAGTGGGTTTTAAATCTTCCCCTCTTAGTTCATCATGTGGTTCATGGTACTTATTTAGATATCAGAGGTTTTTTGGGGGTTTTTCTCTGGGATTCATCATTTTTAGCCCTATTGTAGCATGTTAAAAGCGACAATGAAGCAGCTGAACAAATAAAAAACCATTAATTTTTATATATAATTAGTATGACATTTAGTTTCTCATTGAAGATAAAATAATGTCATGTTGGACCCTGGCAAGGTTTTTAAACATGTTAGTGGTTTTACAACCCTTATGTGTTGTGGAAAATGAAAAAAGTTATTTTCATCCACTGTCCTTCTCCCGAAAGCACCAACAGAGCAATAAATTAATAATGTCTTTTAAAACAAAATTTAGCTTTACTTTCCTTTTTTTTCCTCCTCTTTTTTTTTTCCTCCCTTTCTTTTGTTTTTATTTTTCTCCTTTTTTAAATTTTTTTTTTCCCAAAGAACTTCAAACATTCGGGACCACCTGGTATCCTGTATTTCCACTGGCCATATTGGAAGCAGTTATAGTTGTGTTGTATTGAGTTGTGCCGGCAGTAATTTCCATGCCTATCAATGTATCATAGTCCTTTGTTGCCCAGATAAATAAATATTTGATACGCTTTATGTCGATTTTTTTATTCAGTAGCTGTCTTTACCCAGGCGTATTTTTGTTCTTGGCAGTATTTTTTATTCAGTATGGTTACAGTAATTGAGTTTAACTCTCCCTTGACAATTGCTCCTTGCAATAAGCAGCTGAACCCATTGTTTCCCTCAAGTATAATAAAAACTTACTTTCAACTTGGAGTTCAGAGCAGGGTATCATTTAGATATTCCACTGAGTCTGTATTCAGACAAATGACACAATAAAGCACAATGTATTCTTTTGGATAAAAAATTGTCTGTACTACTAACAAAAATGACACACTATCTTTTCTTTAACCAAAACATAATTTTATTTAAAAAATAAAAGTTTTATTTTATTTATGTTGACCTCTAGGTTTTTATTTATGGTTCTATATAGCATACAGAATTATAAGGCTATAAAATTTTGTACATGTAGTCCTAACAGAGCAGAGATTAAAAAACACATCTCTAGAAGGAGATTTTAAAAAGAATCATTACTTAGAAAACACTGAAAATTATTGTTGTGAAAAAAAAATTTATACTGATAAATCAGAGCTGGGTGCTCCCTCCCCCTCAAGAAAAAAGAAAAGCTCCGTAGTTGATGCCAACAAAATCATCTCACGGTTGTGAACTTTAGTGAAATCTTGCAGGAGACAGATTATTTCTGATTGATGGTTCGTGTTTTAGTGGAACGCACAGACTGACATTTTGAGATGGCTGTGTCAGTTTATGAGGGACTGAAATTTTTATCCTGAGTTTCTTCTTGTGGAAACCAGTTGTGAAACAGGGAAGTTTGCTTTTAAAAAATGGAGTGTATGTCTTGAAGATGGTCTAGAAAAACATGTGAGAATTCTGATTTTGAATCTATTTTCTTTGGCCCGCGGGGTAGGTGAAGTCACGATCAGGCTGGATTACGTTATATCATAGGAAGGAAGACTTAATGTCTCCCTAAGAGTTTAGAATACAAAGGCATTTTAAAGAGAGGGTGTCCTTTAAGTGTTGCTGGTATTCTAGTAGTGGAGGCTGATTTTTCTCTTTCCTTCCCTCCCTGACACTCTCTCTTTTTCTCTCTCTCCCTTTTTTCCCCCTTTCCTCTTAGGCAGAAATTGAGGAGGTTAGGAGGGAGGTGTTTACAATAAAGCTGCACAGAGAATTAACATTTACTCATATATTTTGACGTTTGGTAGAGCTGGTGAAGCAAAGCATTAGATAAAGCCCAAGATGTTTCATTTTGCTTTGGTAATCTACTTATGGAAGGCAGTGTAAAATCAATCTTGCCAAGCAGAAAGAGAGTTGGTGGAGTCTAAATTCTATTTTCGTGAGCCAGCTAGTTTATAAAAATGGTGAATATTTCTTTTCTATAAATTGAAAGTGGATCTTTTGAATGCAAAGCTGTAATTGTTTTAAAAACAGTTATTTATTATTTCCAAGAGAGACTGGTTAACCGTAAAGTAGATGTAACAAAATAATGAGGTGAATGAACCCTAACTGTACATATTCTTGACATAAATGAAATGCACAGTATTGTAGCAGGTGAAGTGAAGCATTGTCTATCAGGGCTGTTTTTCTTGGCTGCATCTCAGATTGTGTGTGGGATCCTAACCTCAGGCACAATAGCATTCATAAACAGCAATACATTGCTGCTCTTTCTACAGCAACACATAAATACTCATTTTTAAACGAAAACAATCTTATTAAATACCATTCATTCATATCTGGATTTACAGATGCTTGTTACTTTTTGAAACCTGTACCCAATATAATCGTTTTATACTGGTCAATGTATAAAGCAGTCTTTTGCTAGAACATTTTAAGGTCATAATAAATAATGTTTTAAACATATAATTAGCTACTTCATGGTAGGAGAGCGCATATTAGGTATTCTGCTGCTGGATTAGCAAGCCACCAAAAAACAGAAATGAAATGACCTTGCACAGATTTCTTTATTACTGTTATTTCTAAGGAAGGATTTTACAGGCGATAATGGAAATCAGACTAGGTTCGGTTCAGCCTCTTTTTTCAGTGACCAGTGTTCATTTACTAAAATGTGCTAATTACTTCAGCATTCTTTGGATGCATTTTTAACATCGTGATCGAGATGCAGCAGTGAAATTCTAGGTCATGCTTTTATACACTAAACAAAAATCTGTTGTTATTTTCCCCCCCACCCCAGATCGGTTGAAGCGAGGGTGAATGGTGGCTGAATGTTAGAGCGTTGCTGCCACACTGAGCTAATTCCTACATGTGAACCAAAATACAGCTTGGTGCTCTTTCACCGTGAACAAGGACAGCCCTCCTCTTTGTACCGTATTTTACCCCACCCTCCAAAAATCAAATATTAATATAATTTGAGATTTAACTGGTGGAACAGCCATGAGGACAGCAATGCCCCGCAGCTGAAATAATATTTAAAATAGAAGAGATTTGACATTTGAGAAGTCAGTGGCTTGAAATACCCAGTTGTACTTAGCTAATTCAGTCCTTAACCTCTGGTTTCAAATAAATCAATTACAGTCGATTCCACTTCAGTTCAGAAGTGCACAAGGTTTTTAGTTAATTGAATACATTTTATTCACTTGCTAGGAGTATTCATTTATCCCAACCCTTACATTTAAAGGCATTTTCTTTATTGTCCATGATAAATTCAACTGTATAATCAGATCAGCTCCTTGTTTGTTTACTCGTCTTCTACTTCCCATTTAAATTCCACAATGTGCACTCCCTTTGCCTGCTTGGTACATGAATATCTCAGCCCAGATCAGATTCCCAGAGGCTCAACTCTCATGTTAGGAAAGTGTAGCTAAAATAACTAGTGCCCTTCCAACAGGGATCAGCGTGAAGTCCATCCCAGCTAGTGAGGGCACAGTGATTTAAATTGGCTCCATAATCTAACGTGAAAGGTTGGGAGTATAAAAAAAAATAAATGGTGCCTTTGATTTTGTCCCATGCACCTTTTCTGCATGAAAGAGCTATGTCTCTGCTCCCTGCCCTGCAAACAGCTGGAACTGATAACTCCTTGAGAGGATTTGGAGACAGCTTGGTGTCAGTAGGATAAGGTTTTTGTCGAGCACCAGGCAATGAAGTTGTGTCCCTGATCCACTTTGAACAGATACTGGTATACACTTTGTGTGTGTTGTTTGCAGAATCCTGCTGGCATTGGTTTACTGTTTTGGAAAGGAAAGGGGTTAATTAGCATCATTATCAATCACTAATGCTTGTCTAACATGGCCAAAGAATAATCAAGTTAGGGAACTGCATGAAGCTAACATCTGCTTCATTCCAGTTAAAGATTTTTTCCTTATATCGTTCAATTATTTGAAGTCCACACCAGTTTCAGGGCCATAAAGCAGGGTCAGATCGTTAGAAATCTAGAATGGAGGGGAAAGTGCAATATAAATAACAAATGGCTTCATTATTTGAGTTACAGGTGCAAGAATGGCTGTGAAAATGAGTAGGGATTACTAGAATGTGTTCCTTCTTTTTATCTCCAATACAGAGGAAAAAATAAATCAGCTAAGCCCAGTTCTTAAATCATTTATTCTGCACAGGCTGCAGCCTCTCCATTTGCAGTATTTAGTTTAGTAACTCCAAACTTCCAAAAAGAAGTAGTTTAAAGCAAGTGTTTAGAAACAGAGGAAAAGTGAAAGTATTTTATGGCACATCACTAGCAAAGCCTCACTGGCTTCAGAATAACAAAATAGCCTTGTTTTTCTTCTTCCAGTTACAGTT